AAAAAAAAAAAATAATAATTGTTTTGGAAGAGCATTTTATAAGAAAATCTTCAAAATACTGTATTTAAAAATAATATAAATGTATTCATAAGTGTGTTAATTTTTCTAAATATACAACATAAAAAATTGAAAAGCAAATTAAATTTTAAGTCTTGTTTTCTTGATCATGAAAGTATGGCTACTTTCAGTTTTTTTCTTTGTAATTAACTGCCTTCTTTGGATTTTCAGCTATTAATATGTGTTTCTTGTTTTTTTGAGACAGAGTTTCACTCTGCCCCAAACTACAATGCAGTGGTGTCATCATAGTTCAATTTAGCCACAAACTCGCAAGCTCAAGTGATCTTCCTGCCTCACCCTTCCAACTACCTGGGACTACAAGCACACACCACCACACCTTGCTTTTTTTTTTTTTTGTAGAGATGGGGGTCTCTCTATGTTACTCAGGCTGTCTGGAACTCCTGGCCTCAGCCTCACAAAGTGCTGGGGTTACAGATGTGAGCCACTGTGCCCAGGCAATAGTGTTATTTTTGACATTAAGAAGGGAAGCTTTAAAAAACAACTGAAACAAAAAACAAATACTATAATAATTCTTTTGTAAACCTCACCACCTAGAAAATAGTAAATATGTAACTGAAGACATTAGTCAAATAAATAAATGAACAAGCAATCTTAGACACATTAGCCAGCCTAACATTAGTTCTCTCCAAGACCCAATTACAGAAAAACAATTTACATATGAGTATTACCGACTGTAATGTTTTTAACAAGTGAGTACATCTGTTGGAGACTTTTTTCTTAACTTCATAAGATGCCATGACCAGGACAGAAAGCCTGAAGTGAAGATTTTGGAAGAGAAAGAACTGAATCAAAAAGGCCTCTTTATAATCATTAGAGTATCACGCAATAGCCCATATGTTGCCCGAAGGGCTACCATCTCTATGAGGAATACTCAATCCTTAGTTTTCAGTCTCAGGATGCAAACATCCCCTGACTGGGTCAAATCTTCCTTTCTCTCAGACCTTCTTGTGTCACCTGAGCTGATTCCAACAAACAACCCGGCAAATGGGGAAAAGTGTCCAGAAACAGCAAGGTATACACGAGAGTTAAAGACATTACGAGTTGGTACAGTGGAAAGTGCCGGGCAGAAATGACAGCTCGCTCCCCTATCCCAGCCCGCTGCTCCTAGAACCTCTACAAAAGGAGACGGGGGTTTGCCTGAGAGAGTCACTCACCGAACCCTGTGAAGCCCATGGTGACTGCCAGCTGCGGGTCCGATCCCGAGGCGTCTGAGCCTGTCACTGGCGCAAGAGAAGAAGGGGAGTCCTCGTTAGTGCTGCGCCCCCAGCTTCCCAGCACAGCCCGCCCTGCCCGGACTCGTCTCACGAAACCCACCTTCACTGGGCCCGGAATGCTCCATGGCTGGCCAGACACCACAGTACCAGCCACAGGCGTATCCCGAACAGCAGCAGCAGACTTACAGCAAAACCGCCGCAAACCCAGGAGGAAGTAGCGCTTCCCAAAGACAGCGTCCCGGCCAACGCCAAGAGCGGTGACTTCCACAAGGGAACCGCGGCTTTCTGCGCAGCGCCGCCCTTGCGGGCAGGCGGGGAACCACCACCAAGGCCGACTCCAAACCACTGTAGGGGAAAAGTATTGGGATTTATGCATAACAATGCCCTTTCCTTTTTAAGACGTTCACCAGGGGGACTCTTAATCCTCACAGAACTATAAAGAGAAGTCAGTAATCTTTCCTTTGTGTTTTATTGTTCTGTATGGAGTTCTTCATCTTTTCAGTGTATTTTAAGGAAGAAAACGAGTACTTACTACATTACTGAAGAGCACTTTGAAGAAAGCTAAAAAGACCTGAGAAGCTAAGGGATTTGTCAGAAAATGCTCTCTAAAGGCTCGGCGCCCGTAGTACAGTTGTTATGGCGCCGACCACATGCACCCAGGGGGGCAGGTTCTAACTTGGTCAGGACCAGCTAAGCAACAATGATAACTTTAAAAAATAGCCAGGCGGCTCAGCGCCTTTGGCTCAAGCGGCTAAGGCGCCAGCCACGTACACCTAAGGTGGTGGGTTCGAATCCCCAGCCC